TTCCCTTGAAGAGGATATATTAAAATCCCCAGTTACAGCATCAAGTTGTGAAGCCCCATTTGGTTTTGTAAGTGATAAAAGGAAGAAATTTAAATGAAATCTTTTGAAGCTTTATCATTTATTTTGGTTTATTTTTTAGGTTTTTGTCAAGCAGGCAAGGATTTACGGTTAGTGTCTCTGTGCATGGAGCAAATTGAGATCCCAGCAGGTTTCCTGTTAGTAGGAGCCAAATCTCCCAACCTCCCTGAGCACATTCTAGTCTGTGCTGTTGACAAGAGGTTTTTGCCAGATGATCATGGAAAAAATGCACTTTTAGGTAAGAGATATATTTATTTTTTTTTATTGTGCCATAATATTTTAGAGAAGAAGGTCAGTTCAAAATTATCTAAAGTCATTTCAGCTCATGACCTTCTATTAGAAATATGTTGAGGAGAGGCTTGGTTTTATTAAATTAAATTTGTAGCTGGATCTGCCTTGAGAGCCCATTTTAAAACAAGCCCCTGATCCCACAATTAACCACAATCAAAGCTCAGTCATTTCTGTGTGGGCAGAAGTCAGCTCAGCCCTGACATTCTGAACATGAACTATCTGCATGCTCCTTATCTGTACTGATGCTTACAGCATTTTCATATGAGAAATATGGTCATGCAGCTGTTGAAGATGAGCTGTCTGTGTTTCTGTGGCTGAAGGGAAAAATTCTGCCCTTGGCTGGACCAGAAACATTGTTCTCAATAGGACCTCTGAGCAGAGTTTCCTTCTCAAAATCTAATACATGGAGGAGAAAGAGAAAACCTCAAATGTATTTACATCATAATTGGTTTCATTTATATGCTTTAAAATTTTAATGCTAGAAAGTTTCTTGGTGATTGAAGAAGGGCATTTATACACCCAGATTTCCTCCTGGGTCACAACAGGTACACACTTTAACAGGCTAGTAGAATGACTTAATGTGTTTTGGCTGCTTCAGCCTGTTTTGAATTTGCTCTTTCATTTCTCCCTCCAGTCGTTGTACTGCCTAGAATATGTTCAGAAAAACCTTTCAACGGGGAGGAAATGACAATAAAGCTTAAATACCCTGATTTAACCACACTGCTCAAATTCTGGTCCAGACCAGCAACATTCTGCATAACTGTTGAAAACATTGATTTTGTACTTCTGAGCTTTAATGTTATTTTTCCCTGGAACCCATTCAGTGTGCTGCTACACCCTGTGAACCTAGGGACCCAAAGCAGAAATCCCACTGCCTGGGTAGGAGCTGTGGTGTGATGTGCCCTTGCTGACTGGGCTGGGGATGTGGGATCATGGGGTGCTCTCTTCTACCCTGCCACCCTCAGAGGAGCTTCCCTCCCCACTGAGCAGGGGAGCTGTCAAGAGTGGATCAATAAGAACTATCTGACAGACAGGCAGATGGGGTTTAGTCTGATTGAATGTGGTACTACTTGTCTTTGTTGGTAAACCTCCCTCTTCCCCCCAGTCCCCCACACCCCAGCTTTGTACCCATCTACCATCTCTGCCATCCTTTGATAGGAGACTAGTGAGCCACATCTCTGCTCTGGCCTTGCTGATGTGATATAGTTAAATGCCCCTGGGCCTGTGTAGCTGGTGCCTGTGAGCAAAGAATCACTTGGTAGCTCTGTGAGACCCTGGTGACTGTTTCTGCTAACTATGGAGACACACCAATGGATCCTGTGGGCTGCAAGGAGAAGGGAGGGACTGATTCAGTCCAGTGAGAAACAGGATGAAGAATTCTACTTCTTGGCATCCTCAGCAGCAGGATGATAGTGAGCCACAGTAAGGCTAAAGACAGTGGCCTAATTAAATAAGAGCTTTATGGAAAATGCATTTTGTTAAAAAGACTCAATATCTTTTTCATAAAACTACTGTCAAGCACCTCCAAGGATTTAAGGAAGGCCCATTTCAGAACATGCCCTGTGCTCTGTTCCAGGAGCTGTTAGACCAGTGCCACCTCTACACACCATTCCTACTGATGTAGTTGTGAATGGCACTGGAAATCAAGGGTGCATATAATCCTCAGTCTGGAGCCTGTTCTCCAGACTTCAGCTCAAAATTTCACCCTCTTCTCTGAAACCATGCTGGAAGTGTTGCAGAAAAGCAGTCTTGCCTTTGTTCCTAAATCTGTTACTTTCATGACAGGTTGTAGGTTTTAAAAAATATTCTGGAGCAAGCCTAACATTTACCATGAAAATCTTGACTTCAAATGATTGCTTTTAAAACTTTAGTAAGTCTTTAGAAGTCTTCCAGCTTACTTGTAAAGTGCATTGTATGAGAAGTCTTGGAGAAGAGTTGATGGGTATTAAGGTTAATTTTAGTCCCATGAGGATGCTGTGTCTCCTGTGGATCAGCCACTGTTTGGAGAGAGAGGTGCATGCAGGTTGGAACACAGGGGGTTTTAATATAGAAAAAAAAAAAGGATATTTCTTTTTCCCTGATATAAATCATAGCTCTCCCCCTAACAAGTAGTTATTCATCTCTGCACTGTAGAGTGGAAAATTGGTGGTAGGATTCTGCAATAAGTTAGTATGACCTAGAAAGATGGAAGAGTTTGAGCAGCTAAGACTAAAAACTACCTGTGTTTGGCTGCCTCTTAACACACGTGCTGTGCAGGGCTGTCTAGCTGGAGGCTTCCAGTTGCTCTGAACTGGACGTACAGATAGGTTCAAATGGCTTTGTTCCTAGCAGATATGCAGATTAAGTGACTTGTACTGTGTATTTTCTGCTTTGTTCTTCCAGGATTTTCTGGGAATTGTATAGGCTGTGGAGAAAGAGGGTTTCGGTACTTCACAGAGTTTTCCAATCATATCAACCTGAAATTAACCACTCAGCCAAAGAAGCAGAAGCACTTAAAGTACTACCTAGTAAGAAGCTCTCAAGGTGTACTGTCCAAGGGACCCCTTATTTGCTGGAAAGGTAATAAAAGTGCCCATTCACTTAAGGTTTTTTATTGTATTAGTGTGATGTTGAATGAAAAGTTGAGCCTTGCTTGTTGGAAATGTGTGCATTCAAAAGGCACTGTAGAGGGTGCCTGACTTTACTGCCTGCAGGAGAAATTCCCACTGATTTCACTGGAGTCTGGATTTTGCCAGGAGGTATAAGTCTTCCTCCATCTCTCAGTACTTTCAGTGGGAGCCCTAACTCTGCCCTTCTTAGGATGTGCAGCCAGCTGGTAGAAGAAATGAGGTTCTCAGTCTGCTGATTCTGTTCTGTGTCTGAGGCAAGATAACTCACAGCCAGGGCTCCAGCACTGGCTTTCCAGGGATCTCACCTCAGCAGGTGCCATTCACTCTGCCTGATGCCTGAGGATAGCTGTCATGCCATAAGGTTTAGAAAGCTCAGGCCACTGATCTCGAGAGGAGAAATCTTGCCATTTATGGTGTGTTTTACACTCAGACTTATCCTCTGCTGGAGCAGCCTGTGCAACAGAGATGACATTTGTGACCCAAGGCAAGGCAGCCATGGGGTCTGTTATTGAAGGATGCAGGCTGTGGAGCTAGAGCCAAGCAAAGCCTCAAGGGGAGAATGATTTACCTGCTCACTGCCTGCTAAGCTGGTGTATACCCAGGCTGCCTGTCTTCCCCAGCTCTGGTCTCACTCAGTAAAGACTGAGCTGGATCTGATGCCTGTTGCTCCAAAGAGGACGATGTGAGGAGAGGAGAAGTTCCACAGGAGGACTGACACACATCTGAAGAGTCACATCCTCCTGTGAATAGCAGCATGACACCAGAAAGAGATGGTTATCACCGAGCTGTATGAGTGACTGTAGTATTGTATCAGTGACTAGTTCAAAGGGATCCTGCCTTCAGCTGCTCTTCTCAGTTACAAGTATAATTAACTGCTGCTTTAGAGTCCATGTGTTTTTCAGCAGCATTTTTTACAAAAACTACAGAAAGATTTAATTTGGTACTGAAGTTTTGGAAATAGGAAACCTTATTTTACTTGTGGGGTCCTTTTTCTGAAACTCTCCCCTGATGCTCATGCATTTGGGGTTGGTGTGTGTCCTGTTGAATGCAGTCAGGAGTGACACACATGTGGGGTTACTTTTGGTTTCCTGCTCATTGCAAGTGTTTTGAGCACCCACAAAAGTGTAGCAAATTGACCAAGAATTGATCTCCTGGGCATTGTTTCTGTAGGCTCTGTGCCCATATTGCTGCCATCCATCTGCTAACCCTTCACCCTTTACTTATATTAAAGGTCTAATTAGAGGAGGAGAAACGCTTTTCAACACCCCCTTCTCTTCAAACAGATCCTGATTACATCTCAGTTTTAAAAATGGATTAATGTGTGATTTTTAAGGTGATTTTCTCTTCCCTGAACTCAGTGTCCTTCCAGACAGACACTCATACCACTGAGCTCTCCCTGAGGGTCTAGTGGGGCTCTGCTGAGACTCTGGGTTTCAGCAGTTTCTCCTTCAGCAGGGGCCACATAGGACAGTCTGTGTAAAGGCTGTGCCACAGAAATTGCTGGGTGTTTCCTGGGATATGTCAAATACCTTCAAATCTCTTGGAAGCCGTGAGCTGAGGGCTCTTGCTATTTTGCAGCATCTGGTCCTTGTTTGCCTGGCCCTCTGAGTGGCCCCCAGGGAGGTTTTCTTAATTAGAAGACCAAGTTGACTAACCCGTGAGGGACGTGTCTTTGTTGAACGCCGCCATTTGTCGCTGTTTGTCGTACGTGCTGCATGTATGCTTTGAACATTTTGTCATCTTTCATCACAATGTTGCTGAACTGTCCTACTGGAAGGCAGGCCCTGTTAATCTGTACTGGAGCTGCTTCGTTTGCAGAATGTAGAAGCAGGCAATCATCTGCTGCTAACCTCCCTGCTAAACCCAACCCTGCGCTGTCACCGTCCGCGACCCCAGAGGGTGGATCAGCTAATGGATACAAGTCAGGGTTCACTCAGACAGGTAGGAGCTGAACGTGCTGTAAAGATAACTATTGGGGATGGTAAGTGACCTCAGAAATTGGTGCTCCAGGGTTACTGTAAACAACTGGGGGTTTACCTCAAGCTGTGTTGATCACAACGGGGAAGACACCTTTTGAGACTTGCTTTGTGGCAGTCAGGACCCAGGTGAGGCTGAAGGTTACCTTAGTCCTCCTGAGAGCAGTCAGGTTAAAGCTCTTTTGGTTCATTTAGTTGAATCTGTGTCTCTGTCCTGGTTTGAGCTGGAACAGAACTCATTCTGTTCAGTTATTTTACTTCTCAGCTAAGTCACTTCATCTAGTGGTCGGCCCAGCCTCTAAACCTTGATAGTCTCACTGTTTATTTCCTTTAGTTTTTTGTGGATCTCAGAAGACTTGAATTACACACTTACAGGAGGTGTTTACTTAGGATGCAGACTAGGCTTTTTGTCTGGGAAAGGAAAATAATCTGCTTTTAGGGCAGGTGGGCAGCTTTTATTTATTTGCTTGCTTGCTTATTTATTTAAATTTAATTCCACACAAGGGTGTGCTTGGAATAGCAGTTTCCCATACACATACATGTTTGGTGTTACAGGAGCCAACATGCATCTCATGGCTGTCCTAGAAAGCTATTAATGACATACTTAAGGAAAAACTATAAAAATAAAATAGACAGTGGCTGACAAAGAAGCAGCATCTCAGTTTCATTTATCCATTTATTTATTGCAAATAGCCAAGGTGCTTTTTTTGTGCTTTTTTTCCTCACTGCTTTATTGCCATTCCATCTGTGCTGTTTATATCTGTTTGTTCTGTTTCTTGAAAAACTAAAAACAGGAGAAAGCTTCCTGCTAGTTGTTGTAATCTGTTGATATGTATCCACCAGAACATGTATTTCTCTAGAGGAGCATGGAATGCAGATGTAAAAACAATTTGGTTAATATTAAATGAGGGTGTTTGTTAAACACATCTGCATTTCATTGCATGATTCCTTGGCTTCCAGATCCTGTGCAGATGCTTGAGAGCCTATTTATTTGAAACAAAAAGTCATCCAATATTTACACAACTTTGTCTTCTATTGTACCTGCCAAGTTAATAGATACACCTTTTATATACTGCTTTCTCCTTATCAATCCCTGAGCTTCTCAGTCTGCTTGTCTGTGTGTCACTGTTTGTACTCTTAGGTCATGGTTGTCAAAACCTTTTCATCTCCTCCCACTGTTATCTCCTAGAGAAGATAATGCCACATACATACATATGAAGCCCCTGTGACCATGAGAAGAGGGGAAAGCACCTTTTTTAGTGGCATGTCACCTGTGATGGAGATCTGACTTTTTCTCTCCTAGGGTCTGCATAGCTGTTTGTACTTTGAGTTGACTTAAGCAACTAGAAACAAGGTTTTACAGTAGAAAGATGAGCAGTGTAATAACTGATAGCACTACACTCCTCCTTAGGTGCTGGTGTGATGTTTAAACATGTACCAGCCACATCTGTGTTCATAGATAGGATGTCAAGAACAGAGGTGAAAAAAACCCCAAAGTTTCAGGACTGTTTACTCTGAAGAAAGCTTTAACACTCCATATTAGCTATGTCATATCTAAGGAGAGGCCAGAGACTTCCTCCAGAGGCCCAGCCTGGTGGTCTGTTTTGTTAGCCAGCCAACCAGTGCCTCTGAACATGAACCAGGTTTTCTGGTGGAGCAGCAGTGGCAGAAGCTCCTCTGTTCTTTCCCCATCTCTGCTTGGCAGAGCTCTCCCCACTCTCCTTCACCAAGTGATGTGTGGCCTGAGGGTGAAGGTGTGATCTGTTCGGCAGATGAAGTTGGTCCCTGCCTTCTGTTTGCTTTACCTGGCTGTTTTACTAGGACATCTGTAGGTGAACTTAGCCTGCTCTGTGTGTGTGTTGCAAACTACTGCCTGGACAGATGTTGAGTTAATCTTCTTTCACTCTGTTTAGTATCCAAATGTTGAATATTTTCTTGAAGTAAATTGCAGTTATCAAATGCCTGATGTTAAAATAGGGGCATACACATTGGGAGGTTTGGAAGTGGTTCTGATTTACAGTTCCACACTGGGCAAGTATTACAATGTGTTTGTTCTTCAGGTTATCTGTCTGTAAAATAAAATTCATACTTTTCAGCCTTGGTAAAGAAAGAGCTTTAAGGAGTTGCTATTTGTTAATTTATGCAAAGAGTTTGGACTTCTTTATTTCTCACTCAGACTGAAAAACATACATGGATAGCTTCATAGCCTTACAGACAGCAGTGTTGTAAGGAGGCTGTGTGCTTTCTCTGCCCTCAGTCTACAGTTTCTACAGTTAAAATACTTTTTTGAGTGTATGTGAATGCAAAATACTGTGGAAGAGATCAATCATGGGTTCAGAAGATTACAAGATCTGTAGAAATGCTCAGTTAAATGCTTGCTCCAACTCCTAAAAAATACTGATACGTGGTGACTTCCAACTGAGGAGTGTAAAAAAAAGCCTGCATTATGTGCAGAGATGAGCACATGTGTATGACTGTTCATGTGTATATAATACAAATTAGATATCCACACATATATATGTCATTTTTAATTATTATGTATCTAAACAACTTCTTTTCTCAGATTCTTCAGTGTTCAGCCCAGCAAAATCATCTTCTGCTGTTGCCTTAAGTGGAGCTGCAGAGCCCTCCCGGAACAGGAGCCTTGTGAAGCCCCTGGCAATGTCAGTGCAGCTCGTGGGGAAGGCCTTTGCAGCAGGTACAGCCTGGCTTTCAGGGGAGCCCAGAGCCAAAGGAATTAGCAGCTTAACAGCCAAGAAATAAGGGTGTGATCTTTTTGGTGGAAAAAAGGGAAACATTCACCAGCATCCTCCAAAACTCATATATTTGCCATCCCCTGCCCAGAAATTTTCCATAGCTGTTACTGTCCCCAAACTGAGCCACAGCTTGGCTCTCAGATTTGCCACTTTGCTAACAGTGCAAGTCAGATCCCTCTTTGCACTACATTTAATGGCATTTAGTCTTATTTAAAGTTTTGATATCTGTACTGTTTGAATTATTTATTTCTGTGCTGTGTGTTCAGTAAAGTAGAACCCTCACAATTGGCATCTCAATTGGTCCATACCAAATCCTTGGCTCAGAGTACAAAAGTGGAGCTTACAGTGGGCCATGGATATTATTCACATTTTGCCAGTTGTCAACCTGAGAATCTTGTGCCTGAATTTACTTGGATGACTGTGCCTGGAGAGTTGCACGTTGCATTGTTTTAAGCCAAATCCCCACATCTCAAATGCTTTCTTTTGCATCTGACATCAGCAAGCTGCTGCACCATGTCCTGCTTTTGCTCCTGGAATAAGCTCCTGGGAGCTAAATCTTTGTGGAGCTCTCAGATGATGGTGAGGAGCTGTAGTCTCCACTGGCTCCATGTCTGCTGTATGCCATTTATGCCATTGTTTTTCTTCTGCTCTGAAGAAGAGTAAGAAGGACCTGAGAAGTGTGAGGATAACTTCTTGTGATACTCCATTGTTGTCATTTCCTAATCTAGATGGACAGATTAGGGTGCCAGGCTTGCTGGGACTGGAAGATAGTCATAGCAGAGGTGGCAAAGTTAGGCATGGTTTGCCTCAGGAATGCTCAGAGCATGGATACTTTGGAGCAAACTGTCCTGTCTGCCCTGCTAAGGCTGCAGATGAGGACCCTGTAGAGAATTACTGGGTATTGCACATGAGCAATGGGGGGGAAGACCTGGAGGTGCAGCACAGTGCCTTAGGAATCTTCCCAACCTGAAGTCATGATGTGTTTTTAAAATTTTCAATGGCTAAGAAGATGTCACAAACTTCCCAATATTTTTTTTTTTTTTGGTGTGTAATTGTCGTTTTAAAATTTTCAGTGGCTAAGAAAATGTCACAGACTTCCCAATATATTTTTTTTTTTTTTTGGTGTGTAATTGTCTGTTTTACTTCGGTTGGGTTTGTTTTGGATTTTTTTTTTTACACTTCTCCTACTCATCCTGAAATCTGGAGCCCCTGTTTCAAGGTTAGGATGTTGCAGCCTGTGCCTGAATTACTCCGTGTAGCTCAGCTCATGCTCTCCCTTCTTTCAGTCGTGCATCTTGCCCTGTTCTTCTGGATCTGCATGTGGCTTTGTTAGTTTGTTTTCAAGACTGTCTCTAGACACAGACTCTGTGTTTTGCTGTCCTCAGCTCCTCTTTCACTGCGTGCCACTGATGTTGCCAATGGGAACACGAGTGGGGGCAGGAATAACACGCTGAGTTCTGCCGTCTCGCGCCCAGTGCCTCACTCAACATCTCCCAGTCCTGGCTGTGCAACTGGAGATCAAGGTAAAGAAGATATCTCTGTTCTTTAAGTGGAACTGGATGTTGAGCCTGAAATTCGTGATTTTATTCTTCCTGTCATAGATGCTTCTGCAGTTCAGTCTTTACAGATCCATTTGGGTTTTGGCATGACCCTTCATGGTAAAGTTGTACTACTTAACACAGGAACCCCGTTTTTCACACCATAGTCTGGCTTCATGTAAATCTAGCTGGAAACCTCTGGTGCTCTGTGACGTGGTCCCAGCTCAACACCAATGTGAAATGGAGACGTGGGCTGGGATCTGGTCATTTGGGAGGATGGGGTTTAGAATTAGTTTTTACTTTTGTTCTCAGCATCCATGTCCAGTTCGGGACCACCGAAGAAGCGTCACCGAGGATGGTCCCCTGGGTCCCCAGTCCCTGCTCCTGGGCTAGCAGTACCTGTTCCTACCATCCGGCCTTCAGCAAGAGCAGGTAACACCTGCAGAATACAGAGATGCCATTTATAAAAACCTGTACTCAGCCAGACCTGTAGCTCTCTGCTGCTTCCCTTAAATTGCACAGAAAACATAACTGAGCTTTCCATCATTTTGGCCTAACAAAGGACATCTTCAGTTAAAAGCATAAAGTTTGTGAGACCACGTGTCTGTTCTGTGTGGAAGAGCTGTAGGAGGGATGTGCAACGTCATGAAACAAAATAAGATTAATTATGAATATGTGTGAATCCTCATCAGTATCCATCTAGGTGCCTCAGAGCTATTAATGAAGCTGTTCACTATTGAAGCACTTTTCAGCTGTGAAATTCAGCATACTTTGTGAAGGGGAATAAACAATTATTTATTCCTCTCTTTGTAGAGTGAGAGAGCAAATGAGGGAATAAACATACAAGGAAGAAAAAAGCCATTTGTCAACATGCCCAATGTATTTTTCACTCTGCTTTGGAAGGCTTGATTCTGAGATATTTTGGAATTAATTTTCAGAGGCACTCATCATAGGAAGAAGGGTTACATAGTAGTGCAGGCCTGCCTGCCTGAGCACCTCAAATCAATTGCAGCTTTTCTGTTGCCAGCTTTGGAGACCTGCTGAAGACACATAACATAAGGCAATCTTTCCATTTTATGTTGAGTTTGTCTCTATCAATCTACTACCTCTGCTGTGTACTCCATTTGTCAGAAGTCTTTCACAGTACTTTTTTCCTGTTGGATAAAGAATTACCACTGCTAAAACAAATGCATTAATTCATGCTGCCTTTGATGCTTTTCTGTGGATGGCATTGTTTGAAAAATCTGTTACAAGCCACCAAATGTAGCCTGAGAAACTTGTGAAGCAGCCCTCAAGCTGAAACCTGATTACAGAGTACTGAGTTCTTGCATCTTGTTTCTTTGTACTCACAGAAGGTTCTCTTGCTCTTTCATGAGCAAAGTTTAATTGTTATCCTTGTAGCAAATGTCTAAGGACAGCTTTGACATTTGGGCCTGGTTTTGTTTTTGTTGTTTATGTATATTCTAGGTCAGAACTCCCAGAGCAGTCTCTTCCCTGGTATTGAGGGGTAGCCTCTGTCTTAGAGGTGGCCTTTTGGCTTAGTACTTGGCTTTGTTTAAAGGTGCATATTCAAACCTGTGTTTTCCTCTCTTGTTCCCACCAACAATACAGTGGTCAGTTTTATTTTAGGGGTGGGATATAGGCTCTTAATTTAAATTACTTAAAACTATAGCAGGAAATGCAGAGACCTTTTGAATTTTATTACAGTTAGTGATCTGTGGTAATTTTTTTATTTGTTCATATGGCCAAATCACAGTATGGGCCTTTCAGTAATGGAAGCTTCTCTTTTCTTTATTTTATAGAGCCTCTTTTGTCAGTCCCAGTTCCTCAATCCATGTTAACTGGAATTTTACAGCCTCAACCCATCCCAGCAGGGGAGACTGTAATAGTTCCTGAAAACCTACTGAATAACTCAGGAGTCAGACCAGTGATTTTGATAGGTAAGTCTTACACTAGGGAATCAAATGCCACATTTTGAACAAATACATGCTCCCCTAGGAGTTTTTTTGTTTTCTGTTTGTTGGTTCTGGCATTCAGCACAATATGAAGTCAAGTTTCTCACAGACAGTTTACTTCAGTTGCTCAACATTTACAACTGGAAGTTAGGCAATCTCTGGAGAACCTGCAAACAGGTCACGACTAGGTCAGATTTATACAAAACCTCTGGCCAAATTGAAATGTTTTACAGATAAAATTCTTGTAAAATCCAAGAATAGAAATATTTCCATGTGACAAAAATAGCTTTCCAGTGTAAACAGCTTATAAACCAAGCATATTTCCTGCAGCATTTATAGTCCAGATCTTTAAGCCCAGGGATTCTGCATGAGAACCAGAAAATTGGTTTGAACAGACTAATAAGAAGTAAAACACACTAACTTTGTGCCTTTTATAGTCCATGCTTCTTGTAAGCAACTGAGATAAGAGATCAGGCTTTTAAAATGCTTTAACTGTATAAAATAGGTTTGTTGATCCTTGGAGGACATTGCTTTTACATTAGAAGTGTGGCTCATACTGTGAATATCCCTTTCAACCTGACCTGTTTGGGTATGCTGTATAACAGAGGATGGGGCAGCTAGTAACACCAACATTTTTGATGAGTGTGGTTGTTTTTGGGGATTTTTTTACTCTAAATCTCTTCTCAGTCCAGCAGAGTACAGATGGTTTTATTAAGTAGCTTCAGTGTTAACATGGCTATCAATATAATCCATGGAATAATTTATTGTTCCTAAAACTGAGAAGTTCTCCAGGTCCTCACTTGCACAGACAAATCCCAATACACAGAATTCCCAGAGAATCAACAGGGCTGTCTGCACTAGTAAATCCATCAAAGTCAGGGTTATCAAACTCCTGATTTGTCTTGCTCAGTGTTGTTTTCTGGAAGCCTAGTCTAAAGCTCTAGCGTGGTGCTCTAATGGTTTTCAGAGAAACACTTCCTTATTGAAGATGAGGGTGCCTACAGTCATCAGCTTAAGTGCAAATTGAATGCAGCTCTTAGGCTCTTGGAGAGTTGCCAGTGAGGTCCTTAGTTAGGCTAGATGTTAGTGGCCCCTATTAATAGCACAGAACCAGATGTACCCAAATGGGTGGGTTGGGCAAAATCTGTGGAATTTTTTTAAAATGAAAATGTTCTGAAGGAGAAGAGGAGTTAGCCTGGCCTCGTGTGCTTCACCTCACAGAGCAGCATGTTCAGTTGTTGGTGTTTATTTAGCCTGTTCATGAAAACAGCATGGAAAAATGGCAAAAAAGTGAAATCAGTCACAGCAACACCACAGGGACTGGCTCTGTGCTAATGTGACTTATGCTGCTTTTATAATGCTCAGATCAGTGCACTTTTCCTTCCATTGTTTTTTATCTTTTGCACACTGTATTATGGAGAACCTGTATTTATAGTCTCATCTGTGTTTGGGTAACAATAGTCATTATCTTCCAGTTATTGTTAGTTTTTGCAAATCTGTGTGATCACTTCTTGCAAAATACAACATTAACCTATCTCATTTATTTTTCAAGCAATTCTAATGCCAAGAACAGCTACTGGTGCAGTATATTTTGTAAGATAACATTAAAGAGAAGTTTGGAAATGTACACATTGTGCCAGATGTCATGTAGGGGCATATTTTGTGAATTTCTGGGATTGTTTGTTTCTTTTATCGAAGGTTATGGCACTTTACCTTATTTCTATGGAAATGTTGGTGATATTGTTGTAAGTCCCTTGCTGGTGAATTGCTACAAGATGCCACAGCAGGAAAACAAGGATTTGGATCTCTTGGGCTTGAGCAGCAGCCAGCTGCTGAGTGTGGAGAATATGATACTTCTGACTATTCAGTATCTTGTCCAGCTAGGTAAGCCAGTTGTCCTAAGCCCTTGTTTTTATTTGTGACAGTCCTTTTTTTCCTCCCCACCCTCTTCATGTCTGTTTCATAGCCAGTTTTCTGGCTATTTTTGTGCCTGGAAGAGGTAAGTGGCTCCATCTAGTGTGTGTGACGTTGCTGCTTTGTTCCTTAGAGTGAAGAAGTGAAGTGAATTTAAAGGCTGGTGCTGCTTCTGCTCTCCATATGGGGGTTGACCAGGTCACCTTTGTGAAAATGGATTTGCAATGCAGATAACTCATTTGCTTAGAGTATCAAACCATCAGTTATCACAGCTCTTTCTAAGGACACTCAGTCTGTTTTATTCAGTTTTGTGGCACATGCTGGCAGATGTGTGATGGTCATCATTGTTTTGGTGACAGCACCGTTTACATGAAAACCACATTTGTTATTCAGACTGAGGCAAGGGATTCAGTGACTATCTCATTCTTGTACCTTTCTGAAATGAACTCTGCAAGTTTGAGAGCAAACCAGTAAACTACATTTTCTTTCTCTTGTTGCAGGCCCAGACTTTTTCCCCTAACTTAGAGTAAAAAGCAGGAGTGTTAACAATAAAGATTTAGAAGTTAAGAATAATGCAGGATAGTGTTGGGAAACTTCTCACAGCAGCCTCAGGCTTAACTTCTGTATTGGAAAAGATGCTGCTTGCCACAGAGGAGTGGTAAATGGTGTTTGTGAAGGGCACACTGCTGTTCTTGTACTGAGTTTCCCCTAGGGCATCTGTAATACATAATGGTGTGAAATGTGCTGACATTTCAGGAGAAGAGCTGGTGGTAACCTGGTGATCTGGGAGCAGATGTGCTCCAGTGCAGGTCTCACCCACAGGTCCTTTTGCTCTCCTCCTCTCCCCTGCTGCAGTACTGTTACACACAGGGTGGGGAGCCATCCTCTCTGCTGCCAAACTAAGTGACCTGTTTGCTCTATTTCATTCCTCAGGAGTCCATTGAATGCCATGTAAGAACTGACAGAAGGTTTCTTTATTTATTTCAGATATTAGTTCCATTATTTTTCTGGATAGTGATGGAGAAAGACTGCCATGAGCAGAGTGTGGCATGGAACACTTCACTAATCTCAAAGTATTCCCTTATCATAACCAACTGTTTTTTTCAAGTTCTCCTTTTATAAATAAGCTGAGTGACATCTGTGTGTTCTTGTACAGAAGTCTTTCCATTTGTACAATTATTTTCATTCACCTGGATTCACAATGACCCCTGTGGCTTGAGCCTGTCTCTTTCAATAACCTCCTTCCATCACCAAAATCTTCTAGTGTATAAGATCTTTTTTGTTGTGGTTGATGTGCTGTAGTTAGACTTATTTCTGCAGAAGATGATTTATCTTTCTGTCAAGAACTGTAATTTTTTTTCTGTTTTGAGGTCTTGTAAGACCTCAAATCTGTTATGCTTTCTTACAAGGGAAAATAAAATATATTTCCAAAAAAGAGAACTAGAACAGAGAGCATTATGCCCATGCTGCATTAAATTAGACTGTTATAACTGAGACAGAAAACCTTTGTTTCCTTTTCCTTTTTTTCACTGCCCTTTTGGCTTGTTGCCTTTGGCCCTGAAAGAAAGCATAAACCCAGAAGTAGTATGTCATGTATCTCTGGTATTTAGGCCCCCCATTTTTGTTGTTTTTTCAAGTTTTTCATTTTGAAATCTTGGTAATTTAAGCTATGGTTACTTTTTACTCTGCATTCATGAATATTTTTGTCTGTTTTTGAGTGTCGTTGACAATGAGGCAAAAAGTTAACTGAAGCTGAACTGGGGGACTGGTGCTAGGACAGGATCACCTCTATTTCTGTTTTTCACTTCAAGTTTGCAATACAAAGTCTGGGCAGTGTGGATCTGAAGTTGCATATACCTCTTGAAGTTTGAAGTGTGAAGCTTTGCTAGATTAATTTAACTAAAAGATGAGGTTAAGCATGTTGATTTGCATCCATGCTTAGTTTTCCAGCGTGCATGATGAAAGAAAGCCAAAGGAAGACCACTTGACAGGCTTTGTCATATTGCATGACTGCCATTGGGCTGCAAGGAAGAGCATTTGGGTTTTCTGCTGTCAAAACATCTGGAGGCTACATGATTTAATCCTTTTCCAAGCAAAACACACATTTTCTCATTCCTTGTTTGTCCCCCTGGCTTCTGAAGGTAGAAAAGCTAGGACTGAGATGAAATACCTCATTGTTAAAAAAGAAAGGGGGGGAGACAGAGTGGAGATGGATATGGTGGGAGATAGACTTATGAAAAAATAGGAATAAACCGTATGGTAGATATCCACTGAGTAGGGAGTGAGCTTGTGAAATATAAAATTTGAAGGTTGAGAAGCTTGTCAGATCAAGAGCGATCCATGTGATTATTTCCGGTTCAACATCCTTTGGATCTTAGATACTGTTGTTCTGTTTGTTTTCAATGTAGGCCCTGACCAGATACCCCTGAGGGAAGAGTTTGAGCAGATCGTGCTGAAGGCCACGCAGGAGCTCCCTCTGAGGGACAGGTCCCTGCAGCTGGGTGCCCAGGGCGTGTCGGTGGCGCCGGGGCAGCTCCCGTGGCTCGCCAGGCTCATCGCCAGCGTGTCCCGGGACCTCGTGCACGTGGTCGTCACCCACAACTCGCTGGCAGAGGGCATCTCAGAGACCCTCAGGTCCCTCAATGAAATGAAACATCACCAAAAGCTACCCGACTATGTAGTGGCTATCTGTGCATCAAAGATAAGAGGCAACGAGTTCTGCGTGGTGGTCCTGGGTGAGTCTCTTGGCAGCACACTTGGAAGGCCAGTGCAGTTCTGCTGGGTTAATTTTTGGAGTCATTGTTCAGGCTTCTCAATCCCTTTTTTTCTTGTTCTCCTTTGTATTGTTAGGCTGCAATGTCACAGTTTACTATTTCTCTGTCAAGAACTGGCACACTGAAGTCCATGAGGATGTAGACAAATAGCTGTGTGCTAATCATTACTGCACCCTGAGAGGCCTGAGACTTTGTGCTACCTTGGAAAATATCTTGAAGTGAAACAGTGACAAAATAGTCATTTTCTCTTTCTTGATTTCTTAGCAGCTGTGCTGTTTCACATGGCACTATTGGACTTCCCAGTCTTCTGCAGGCCACTGTAAACCAGAGTGTGCTTTTCATCCTTTTTACCATGTTGGTTTTCAAATTCCACATTGGTGATGGGCCGTGATGCTGTGTGTGCCTAAGTGTGTCTGGATGGAAGTGAATTTTGACTATTCATCTCTCCTTTGTAGGCAGATAAATCCCCCCCCTCAATGCATCTAACTTTTTTCACACTAGAGATAATTACTTTTTCATATTCACCTAGAATGCTCCATTCAATCTAGAGGTACAAATATTTATTCTGCATATCATTTGTCACCTAACTGTGCAGCACTGTGGGCAACAGCTTGCAGAGGATGTGCTAAACTCGTAAAGCTAATTGCCTCATCACTAATGAAACAGATTTGAGATTGCTCTCCCAGTCTGCTGGGTAAATGTAGATCTGTGACTGAAGATCAGCTTGTCCCACGCTTCTGGGGTGAAAGGGTTGTGTTGATGGTGCTCTGTATTAAAGATTGCTCTCACTTTTGTCTCTCTCTTCTCCAGGTCAATATCAGTCTCGGGCACTTGCAGAAAGCATGCTTACCACCAGTGAATTTTTAAAAGAGATCAGTTACGAGCTCATCACAGGGAAAGTTAGTTTCCTGGCATCACATTTCAAAAACACATCTTTAGGTGAGTCATCCTGAGAAACAGAAGTTCTAGCCAGGACAATAATTTCTTTAGGGTTGGTGTGTGCTGTGCAGCAGGTGAAGTGCACGAGTGCAGCTCTGCTCTCTCAACTGAGAGACTTTTTTCCTTCTCTCCTTTCACTGTGTAAAGCTCTGCGTGGCTCCTTCACTCACACAGTCCAGGTTACTCATCCTGTGCCAAAACACTGTTAACCCTGTTTGTCCTGCTGAGTGTGTTGGCAGGGCACCTGTAAGTGCAGGAGCCTGTTCTTGTCTGTGCTTTTAGTCCAGGTTTTAGAGGTTGTTTTATAGAGTGTGTTTCTTTGTAATCATCAAATGTCACTCCTAGCTGTACAGGCACAGAGCTGAAATTATTCAGCTGTGGTTTCTTTTTTTTTTTTTAATTCATTCAACTGGCAAATCAGTAAATAAAAAAGAAAAATATTCTCCATCCCTCTCTTCCCTGTCTCTCCAGTCCCCTGCCTCTTCACAGACTCGACATCAGCTGTGCAAGAGCCTGTGTGTGTAATGTTCTACATCACTTTTCTGAGACAGCTTCCAGATAATTTGGTGTTGCTCATTCTTGTTAGGTGATGATTTGGACAAGCTGCTGGAGAAAATGCTACAGCAGCGAGGGGAAAGTGTCATTATTCCTTTTAATGGAGATGTGAGTGAGTGTGTGTCCTCTCAGGAGGCAGTTGCCATGGTTTCCACACAAGAACCAGGTACATTTTTTTATGTGCAAGATATAAAATAATTGAGTAGTTTCTTAAATGTCAATGTGTGTGCCTTAGAGTCTGAGGGCATAGCTGCAGTCAGTATGCCAGCCTCCAAGTACTAATACTGCCAGTTGAATGTAGCAATGCAGCAGTCTCTAGGACAGAAAAACTGTGGTAACCTTCAGCAGGCAGCCTCAGCACCCAGCACCCTCAAAATGATGGAGAAATGCTCCTGAAGAACTGCAAGTTTCAGAAGGGGATTAGACCTATGTGTGTATATCTATATATACACACACTCACATGTGTTTTATATGTATATACATATTATTTATACATTTTTTTTATATATGTGCATGCACATTATGTACATGTTGGTTCATTTAGCAGAATACATTTCACTGTGTTGGCATTGAGGCTCCTTTGGGTAGAGCTGTGAAAACTCCTCAGACATTGAAGGCATTTAAACAATGTGCAGTCCTGTACTTGAGGTCTGATATCTAATTGTATTCTGATCAAAAAAAGGAAGTTGATATTTGTGGTCTGTACCCAGCCCTCCAGAGTGTTGGGTTTTATCCTGGTGATTGATTTATTTTTTTCTAATAACAGAGGGCAAGCTGTTTAGGGGGTCGTGGTTATGGGGGGTGGGAAGAGTAAACACGTTTCTTGTTGTGTTTTGTTTTCTTTTTCAAACAAACACACTCTAGATTTGGATGTTGACACCTTCCAAATTTACCAGCCCCAGCTTACAGTTGCCAGAAAGCTCTTGTCCCAGGTTTGTGCTATAGCAGACAGTGGCAATCAGAGCCTGGATCTGGGCCACTTCAGCAAAGTAGACTTCATTGTCATAGTCCCCCGTTCGGAGGTCCTGGTGCAGCAGACGCTTCAGCGGATCCGGCAGTCAGGTAAAAGGAGCAATGAAGTCCTTACTTGTGTAGCAGGGCTTCTTTTTTTATCAGATAAACATTTTTTTCTTCTGCCTTCAGCCTTAATAATCCCTTATATTTGTGTTTGAAAGACATTAATAGGAGTTTCTGGTGTCATGCACCTATGAGTAGTTTTGAGTAGCTGTTGGCTTGTTTCCCGTCTTATTCCCTACTCTGAACTAAACAATCACACACTTTTTGATTGTGCAGATGTGCTCTGGTGTTGCTCAAAATTGTGATCCATCTCTGGTTTTTCACTTTGTACTATTTTACTCGTTTCACTTTTATGCAGAGTTTGAAAAAAATATATTAATGAAAGTTAGTTTTATATGAATTTATTAATTTTTTTGCAAAAGAAAGGTCAGGGTAACTTTTCTGACTCCAAGCAGGAATAACATGTTACCTGAACATGGACAAGCTTGGCTTAGGATCATGGACCACAGCCAGCTTAGCACTGATCTGGAAATTTTTGTGGAGGTCTGAGGAGTTGTTTGGTTTGGGTAATGTGAGAAGCCTTTGAAAGGTCTTCAGGCACTTTTTGGAGGAAATCCAGAAACCAAGAAGCACATTTTGACCCCCATTTTGTCACCCATGTTAGAGAGAATGTATTTGGTGATATTAGTGATTCGGTTAAGTCCTGATATTGGTGGGCAAGTGGCAACCTAACATGAGCACTTCATTTTTGGATGCTGTCAAAGGAAAAGATTTTTGTTGTATTCTTCTTTTTGACAGGTGTCCTTGTGGACTTGGGTCTAGAAGACAATGGGACAGCATATCAGAGAGCTGAGAAATACGTGGTTCGGCTGGACAATGAGATCCAGGCAAAATTTGAAGTTTTCATGAGACGAGTGAAGCAGAACCCCTATACCCTGTTTGTGCTGGTTCATGACAATGCCCACGTGGACTTTACAAGGTAGCTGCTTCAGTCTGTGAAGGGAAAACCATCCCCTTCCAGTATCTTTCACTTAGGTTTTTCAGAGGGCTTACCCTCTTAGACACCCAGTGCTTTCTCTAGCTTGCCCATGATGTTCATTTACTAATTCTCATTCAGCTGAAGATAGGTGAGACTAGTTTCAGATTTTTGGATCCCTAACAAGACAGTAGAGCTACATGCTGTGGTACTGAAGTCCAGGAAAAAAACCTGAATTTTGCAACTTTCTTTGTTCTTCTTGTCTTTTTCCTATTCTACCCCTTTTTCCTCTACTCAACCCAGATGTCTCCCATGTTCACAAGCCACTCGTGTTTTCATTCATGTTTTTATCCTTTATGATAGTGTTGTTTTTATTATAAGAAGGGTTGTAGACTTTTAACTCTTTAGATCATCTGAAAAATGCCTTAGCTACTGTAAGAAAAGGGTTTAAAAGCTACCTGTGTTGGATTTGCCAACGTTAGACCTGACTGCAATACATACACACGTGCAGAAACATTTCTTCACACTGAATCACAACTTTACTATGGGAAAAGAAATAACTACAGCTAATTATTCTGCTTCTGTTCAATGAGTAAACTGAGGGGGAAAATATTAATGTAATTTTGACGTGGTGCATAAGGCTGTGGGATTAATTTGAATATCAGAGTTATAATAAACAAAATACTTTCCTTGAAAGCCAGCTAAAAATAGATAAAAGCAACATTATTTTTTCCTTACCCCACCATTATATTTTAGTTACTGTCTTTGCTGTACCTTTTTTTTCTTTTAAATTCCTGATTATCCTGGAGATTAAGATAATTCCAGGAACTGAAAATCAGGACATCAGGAGGCTGTCACATTCCCCAGCCCTGTAGAAATGCATTGTTTCAGGCTCAAAAATCCACTGGATTTTGTAAAATTGTTACTATATCCTAACCCCAAAGCTTATACAATCCCTCACTAAGAGGATTTTCATCAGCCTTGGCTTATTTTGTTTCCTCTATCAGATACTCTTCTGAATTGGCACGCTAATTCACTTTCTCACTATCAGCAGATTTTGGTATGTTTAGGTTTTTTTCCCCTCTGTTGCCTGAGTCCACCCACAGACAACACTGAAATCATTCAGAAATCTGAAAACACTGAAATCATTCACCCTTCCAAAGAGCTTTTTGAACTGTGATTCTCAGTGCCATGATCGTTTTGAGATTTTTCTGCAGGATCAGCCTTGACTTATTTTGTTTCCTCCATCAGATACTCTTCTGAATTGGCACACTAATTCACTTTCTTACTATCAGCAGATTTTGGTCATTAATTTAGGATTTTTTCCCCTCTGTTGCCTGAGTCCACCCACAGACAACACTGAAATCATTCAGAAATCTGAAAACACTGAAATCATTCACCCTTCCAAAGAGCTTTTTGAACTGTGATTCTCAGTGCCATGATCGTTTTGAGATTTTTCTGCAGGAAGAGAGTAATCCATTGAATCTCAGGATGTCAGTAAGGCAATTCTTTGCATTCTTATTTCTGCAGTGCCATTTCAAGTTCCCTGTCACATGGTGAGCCTAGTCATGGGCTGGCTGATAGAGTTATTAATTGCAGGGAGGTCCTTGAAGCATTCAACCTCCTTGTTCTTCAGGTCAGCTCTTTTCCTTATGCCTTGCAAACGCAGCAGTCCAGGATCAGCTCTAGCAATGAGGTACACTGGATACAATTTGACACTATGGTGAGTGTTTCATTGTTATTTTTAATGGTGAATTTTAGTGTGGACTTCAAGTGTTCTGCCTTTCTGATTGCCTTCTGCAGGTTTACATTTCAGCCAATAAAGGATTAGCTTCTGATTACCATTAGAGATGTGTAGAATTTGACCATCAAGAAGAATTTTTGAAATTAACAATCCTCCTGTTTTCAGGTTCTGCTTTAAATAGAAATGAGTTAAAACTTCTCAGTAGAGAAGTGAGAGATAGCAAATAAGTAGCAGGATTCTAGGAACCCCTTGAAATCACAGGTAGGAAATATTATTGAAAAATTTGCAAGGACCTAGCTCTGTCTTTCCTAGTTGTAGACAAATGATAAATCAAGTGAAAAAAAATAAATCTGCATTTTATTGTATTCTTTGAGACAAACAATAAGTATCACTGAGGGAGAATGAAAGAAAAGAAAGGATGCTTTATTTTGGAAAAGATTTTCAATTTAGTTTTTAAATTACAAAAGAAATGACCATTGTTTCCAGTTTTCCTCATGGTCTTGCTCTCTCTGTATGGAACAGGATGACACAGCAAGTGAAGACAAGCTGTACTTTGGTTTGAATGAATACAGCAAATCCCTCCAATGGGGAGTCACAAGTCCCCTTCTGAGATGTGATGAAACCTTTGAAAAGATGGTCAACACACTTTTAGGAAGGTAAACAGTAACATGGGAGCTTGGGATTCTGCTTCATTGGGCTGTTAAGTTCCATATATATTTGAGCCCCATCACAGGGGGATGAAGGCATGGTGGTCAGTCTAGGCTCAGCTGGGGTGCTCTCTTCTTTTGGCTCAGCCCCCACTAAGCTGAGAAGGTTCCAGAGGTTTCACACCTCACCCCTCCTGGTGTCTCTTGTTGAGACTGCTGGTGATACCAGTGGTGGCCAAGGTGAGTGATGTCATTTCAAAACCACAATTTTTTGTTATTTCATTAGTTGCCTGTAGTTTTGGTTCCTGCAGCTCAGAGCCTGGAAGGAGCTTATTAGTACCCTGCAGCTGCTTGAAGAAGCTGCTTTTGTGATGCATATGCATGATAAAAATGCACACACACATTACAGGAATGAAGGCAATACCCTTTCCAGCAATGTGGAGTTCATCTGTTCTGCATATCAAATTGCTCAGACTATAATTTTCATTCTAGTTTTGTATTTACCAGAACAGGGTTGTTCTGTCTTCAGTACTGTTTTTCCTGTTTTAAGATTTTTAAATGTATCTGTGTTTATTAAGGTACAGTCTCCAATGTGTTAAGTTAGAACCATTAATAATTAATCACAACATTAATGCTTAATATCTATTATTACCCACAAATGAAAGTAATGAATGTGATAATAAGGTCATTTAATCTTAATACATTGGTTTTTAGGCTTCTCATAGTCTTCCTGGTCCAAGTCCAATGGGAGAGACAGGGGTTGCAATTGCTCTTTTTCTGTTCTTAAAATGTGGCTGGGAGAAGGATCAAGGGGGATTAGCACACGTGCCAATGCTGCCCTCACAGGAGGTAGAGTCAGACTAGAAATTGATGGGAGGTGAACTCTACCTTGTTTTCTGGGTTATTCCATCTGGGAGAATGAGCTGCACAAGCTCACAAGTCTGAAAACATTACAGACAGTTTGGTTTTATAGGAAAGGCTCCATTTGTTTTAGTAGCAAAAGTACAGTGGGTACTTTTATGGGAGGAGGAGTAAAAAGTTTTTTAAAAATGTATTGATTTTATGACTGGCTTATGGTCTAGAGCGAGCTGCTGTACCTACTGGTTAAAGACAGACACCAAACTCTATTCAAATGCATCACATATTGTCTGTTAAATTCCTCAAGAAAGACCAAAGAAATTTGGAGCTTTATAGTTGTTTTAGTCATTTGGACTTCTGTAACATGAGACCAGTACTCAAGGTATCATAGCATAGTTTTTTTCTGCATTATGGTGGTGGATGAACTCCTAGGGAATATAGAACTGGAGCACTTTCTTGCTTGAGTAGGTTTAAATCTTTTTTTTCTTAGCATTTTACTTTGTGAGTTCATGTCTGTTGTCACTGCATGTAGCTGTAATGAGAGGGAAAGAAACATTGGCTATGTAAGTTAAAGGGCAAAATGGCAATTCAGGTTTGGCTGAGAGCCACAATCCCTGTTGGTAATTTTCTGGTGAGAAGTTGAAGGATGTGAAATAATGAAGTACTTCTCCCACAAACCATTTGAAGCCATGGTGGTCCTCCAGGTTCACAGAAGAAAAGCCTTGTGGACAGCAAAGCCATTATTAGCCTGTGCTCTTAAAGTGAACTGACTCCGAGAGGATTTGTACCTCTGTCAAGTGAAGGAGCTTTAGATGAAATTCTGGCCTGAATGCAGGTAACAGAAGTTTATAATTCCAGTTACTTGAGCACAGGGCTTGGTCATCTGCTGCATTTGGACTGCTGTTTAAAACACACTTAGATTTTGTGCAAAATTATTGCCCATAAAAATCAAAGCCTTCATTCTTTGAGTGCTGCAGAAACCAGCGAGTGCTCCTTTACCCCCCAGTCGTGCCTTCTGGGTAGTTTCAGACGCCGCTGTGATTGTGGGTGTGCTAACAGAGGGGCTGTCCCCCACAGGTACCCCCGGCTGCACAGCATGGTCATCCGCTGCTACCTCCTCATCCAGCAGTACTCCCAGGCCCTGATGGCTCTCACCACCACGGCCTCCCTGAGGGACCACAGCACGCCCGAAACCCTCAGCATCATGGACGACCTGCTGAGCTCCCCGGGGAGGGACAGGAACGGCTGGGGGCACATGCTGCTGATCCGGGTGCCGTCGGTGCAGCTGGCCATGCTGGCCACGGAGCGGCTGCGGGCGGTGCGGGACAGGCTGGGGCTGCAGTACCGCTTCGAGGTGCTGCTGGGCAGTCCTGCCGCAGAGCTCGCCGTCGCACAGCACTTCCTGGCACGGCTCAAGGTCAGCAGGGACACGCCCCTCTGCCTGCCCACTGGCTCTCCTGGCTCCCCTTCCCACGTGCTTACAGGCTCCTTGTTCTAGAGGAGGAGGTGCATGCTCTGTGTCTGTCTCCGTGGAGTCTTTCTGATGAGCATAAAGGATCTAGCCTCTTGGAAAGAAAGGATGTGTCACCTCAGTCAGACACAGGATGTTCTCTCTTACTAAAGCTGAACAGCATGAGTCAGATCTCATCTCTGAGCCTCAGCAAGCAGAACCCAGACCTCCTTAGGCAAACTAATTCTATCCACCTTGTCTGTCCAAACTAATTCTATCCACCTTGTCTGTCCAAACTAATTCTATCCAACTTGTCTGTCTGTCTAGTCTGTCTGTTGCCTGCTCTGTCCATCCACCTTCTGCTCTTCTGATAATTGGTATTCTCTTCCTCATAGACTTTTTTTTCCCTTAAACCATGGCACACTTAAAGCCTCTTCTGCACAGCATATATGCACCAAGCTGAACCTCTGCATGGGTTTATAAGAGCATGGTTCAACCCACATCCTGAATTAAGCTCACTACGTTAAACAAAGGGAAAAGAGCTGCCTGCCCTAGGTACCAGCCTGAAAGCAATCCTGCTTGCCTGTCCTGATCCTTCCTCTAAGCCTCCAAGAGATATTAGTTGTCTGCTTCTACTATGAGTTACAGTTTATTCAAAACTACACAGAAAGGAATGAGTTTTGTGAGCCTGACTTGAAGAGTTCAGCTACAACCAAAACCAGATAAAATGTCCTTTAAAGGAGCTGTGACCTCTACTTCTCAAACCTTGTTTCCAGCAGGAGAGGGAGGAGAGGAAAGGAGTAGTCATGAAGGAGAAAACATGTGAGATAGCAGCTCTCTGCTGCTGGATTTTTTTGGCTAGGTATTAACTCCAAACCTAAGTCATTCTGGGCTGTGAGTCCTGTGAGGGCTTCTTTATAGCCCTCAGCTGTAAAGGGCTGCAGCCCTTAGATGGTTGGAGCAGCCTGTGAGGCATTACTGCAGGCCAGGACTGAGTGTGAGGCTGTTGCAGGTGAATATCCTTGCAGCCATTGATATGGAATAGGGGAATTTGATCAGGCAGAGAATGGAAAATCTTCTAAAGGATTCTTCTTATTCCTCTCCCTCACAACATAAGGTGCCACTTTCTAGTGATGCTAAGGCTTGAAATGCTGGTCCCACCAGCAACTGCTACTGGAGAATGGCTTGTTTCCTTTCTGAGTGAGAGCCTGAGTCTTTCAGTCTTTCTTTTAACAGTTGCTGTAGGGTGCTCATGCCTGACTTGATCAGGTACTGCCTGTATCATATGGAGGTCTGGGCACTGTGCAACACAGCAAGAAGGTATTTTTTTTCTCAAGATATAGCAATGTTTTTAGGAGGCTGCCTCCAACACAGAGAGCACAAAGAGGCTCAGCCAGGTTCACCAGGCTACACTGAGCCAAGGAGACTGAAGGGTGTGAGGACACAGGACTGACACTAGCAGCCCTTCCAGTGTTGAGGGAGAATGGTGGTTTTGCAGTCTTGGGCCTTAGTAAGTAAGCAAGGAGTTCTTTCTTGTGGGATTACCTCCAGTGGAAGAAACTTTTTTTCTTTTATTATATAGAATAATTAAGCAAATATTTGAGGATCATGGAATCATCTTCATATTCCACTTGAAGGTCTTACTTTAGCTTTACATTCATTTCAAAGAACTTTTATCTGTGCCAGCTTGAAATCAAAGGCATCACCTGCATTTTTCCCTGGCAGACCACACTAGTAGCACACCAGGTGCATGTTTGCAGAAAATAACATATGCTGTACATCCTCCTCCTGTGCATTTAGTGCTTGGCTAACACTTCACTACCAGAAAAAAACACATGCCTCTACCCAAGTTCTCCTTCCCCTTGGCTGCTGGGTAAGCAAACTCTGTATACAAAGGACTGGAAAAAAAAACAGGTGAAGGTTTAGATGTCCTTTGAATGTGATTGGAAGTTTCTCTGTTCACAGGCTTGGAGGGGAAACGAGCAGGATGACTGGATCCCTCGCACCTACCAGGATTTGGAAGGTCTCCCTTGCATTGTGATCCTGACTGGCAAGGACCCGCTAGGAGAAACCTTCCCCAGGTGCTGTTCTTCCTCGTGCTGTGTGGTTGTTCTCTCACACGTTTAGATAAATTGGGGGGTGGATAAGTGGTTTGATAGTATATGGCTATTTTTTTCACAGAAATGTGTATTTTAGGCCTTATTTGGGAATAGTGTAAAACTTTGGGAAGTGTGGTTTGTGAGAAGTAAAGCTGCTCTGCTGTGCGGGTCAGCAAATGTCTGTGAGACACACCAAGGGGCAGCACTCAGGGGATGAAGTTTTAAAAAACAAATTTATACTCACTGGCTACTAAAATCATTTGTGGATATTTAATAAGCAACTAAAGATGGGGAGTATTGTTCAAATTCGGGGAAAACAAAACTTCCTTTTTTCTTTGGTTGGGTTCTGTAGGTCACTGAAATACTGCGACCTTCGGCTAATCGACTCGAGCTACTTGACTCGCACTGCACTGGAGCAAGAAGTGGGCCTGGCGTGCTGCTACATCTCCAAGGAGGCAATTCGAGGGCCTATTGTAGCTCTTGACCTTAGTGAGAAGGAGCAGGAGAAGGCCAACGGTAGTGAGAATGACTCTGATGAGCTGTTGATAGATTTGGACCGACCTCAGAGCAACAGCAGCGCTGTCACTGGAACCTCAGGTCAGTCCCTCTGCTCTGGCTCTGAAAAACAAGTCTCCTTCCTGTGTCATTAGAATTTGAATGCAAACATTGAGATGTTTAGTCAAACGTGGGTTGCTTAGCTGCACCCTGCTGTAGTCTAGGCAATGAACTGTTAGCAGCAGATTCTTTCCACAGCCAGCAATTTTCTTGTGTGCAGCTGAAGGGTTGTTGTAGGAGGATGGTAAGCCATGGCTAAGAGTCCCTTGTGAGGGTTATTTTTAAACTTATGCTTCACATTTGTTGCCAGTTTCATCTGGTGGATCCTGGAAAGGTTCTTAAAAATCAGAGTAGGAATGGATAGTGTAAAATTTTAGGAAGAGAAAAATGCTCTGTAACTGCAGGGGTGAGCCATGGGTGAGGGTGGCTGTTTGCCTCCTCCCCAAGACTAACAGAATGGCTGGGTCTTGCCCTGCCTCTTCAGGCATCAGTGGAGCATCACCTCCCACTGAGCCTTCCCTGACATTCCTCAGGCACTGCTGAGTCCTTCCCTTTGTTTCCCTGCTAGTCTGAGGTATGAAGACAGCTGAACTGGACCTTTGCCATAGGCCAGCAAAGCCTCAGTGGTGTGATGGAGGGAGCACAGCCCAGCTCACATAAAGGCTGCAGTGAGATGAATGCTCTGTTCCATGTATGGAGGAGTGTTAAAATGATCCATGTATGCAGTGGTGTCCTACACTTGAATTTAGAAGGCTGTACCATCAAATTCCAAATCCCAGATGGGGAATGGGGGTTAAGACAGAGAGCTTAGCAGTCATTTGGGATTGGGACACTTCGACTCTCAGCTATAACAGAAGGGTGGTTGCCTCACCAGCAAGAGTGACAGATAGATGTCAGTGATTTCTTTTTTAATGGGAGAACAGCTGACCTGAGCCAAATGCTGCTCTCACCCAGCAGCACTCATGGCACTTGAAAGTGAGGATTGTCCCACACATCAGCCAGTGAATGATTTTTGTGTTGTGCTGGCCAGTGTCTGTTCATCTCCTGCTCTTGGTTTCCCCAGGCTCCCTGGCAGACAACGGGGTCAGCTCCTCCAGCACTGCAGACAAGTCCCAGAAGGCAGCGCCATCCCT